GCAAAAGCAAAGCGGACTACGTAAGATTTATTCTACAGTTAACACTTGTCTTCCCGAATATTATTCACGCGCTTTGATATTGTCTGTTACCAAATGTCAGTAAGTTCTGACCTCTGCTGTCAATATACTTAGAATATGGGACCCTTCTAATTAGTTGTACCACTTCGAGGTGAAAAAGGTTGTCTTTGCTGACTAGTGTGTATGGATGATGCTGGATTGTCAGTCTTTGGTTTAAAAGCACATCTTTGAAAATACCTCACGCATAAGTCAATATTACAGCCTTAAAAGATATCTCAGAAACTAGATATCGGGACCCTTAGTGGCTCATCGTGTTAAGCACATGTGCAGCTGGCAAGAACTTATATCTACAGAATCGAAATCTGTTAAGGACTTAGAGCCAACCAATAACACTGACAAGTGCTCGTTGAATAAGCGATATTACAAGAAATGTGATGTAGCGAGGGCATATGCGGTCGTACACTTTACACATAGACAGTTAGGTGCACTCACTCCTGAGCTCTTTCTAAGGTTGTACAAAACATACGTCAGGCCACGCCTTGAGTTGTATAATATTATTGCACCCTCTATGCTTGGAGAGACACCAACCTATTGGAAAGAGTCCAACGACGGGCAACGAAAGGAGTTGTTGGTCTCCGAAATAAACCATATGATGAAAGGCTGAAGAAATTGGGACTGTTCACACTTAGCTACCGTCGGCTTAGGGGGATTTGATTACTGCTTACAAAATAACAAATGACCAGAATAACCCAAACACAGGTGTTCTGCCATTGAGTAGGTATAGGCTCCCACTTGGAAATCCCAGAAGGATAGCTCACCTGAGGGCAAGGACACGGATGCGCTCCCACTTCTTTTCACTGCAGGTTTGCCGTCCATGGAATTCCTTTCCGGCAGAGGTAGCTATGGTACCGTCTTTGGACGCCTTTAAGCGAAGGCTGGACAACCATGCAGCGACACAAGGACTGCATTCAAATGGCCCATCCCCTTAAAATCGCATACATCATTCAGGGGTAGACAATTGAACTAGTCGTTTTACTTCTTTACATTCTCTCCCGTCTTAATCTCCTGACAACTTTAACTGCACTTACTATTATTATCATTATTACGATATATATATATATATATATTATTCTTCAAATTTAATCAGCTGACTGTTGTTACATTTTCCTATTTCCGTTTCTGTCTCTTAGTCTGAATAACTTCACTAATTATATCTATTATTATTATCTCTTTTCTCTTGTCGACGATACAGGAGGACTAACTGGCGAAAGGATCAACTCCATTCACAGTAGTGACATTCTTAACACACCTCATACTACAAACCACATATAATTAATCCCAGCACTACTCCCTTTGGAGTCAACCAAAGCTACGACAGTCGAGTGACGAGACGAGCTACGCAGAAATTTACCGAAGATCAGGGACCTATACCTTACAATCAAGATGCGAGCACAAAGAAATCAAATTGGTTCATACTAGCTCGTAAAAACGATATTGGATATCGGACACATTAGGCGGTATATTTAAAACAGTCGTTACACTGTTTCGAAAAATACGGCGTGCTTCATTGGTAAGACTCAAACTAGCTCACGGTTGTTGAATATTTGGGTAAAGATATTTATCAAAAAGTAATATCATTGATCAGGATCAACCTACGTAGGGTAATATTCATATATGCGTACAAGAAGATGAAATATATATGATATCACATGTAGCACTTCAAAGACATCCCTAGTATTTGGAAAAAGATTAGTCATCTGACTAGATGAAAGTAGGGATTATGAAGCTGATTTAAAAACAGAATCAGAAATACAAACGGATCTCAGGATGTTGTTACCGTAGTCATCTCTCTAAACACTTTTCTTTACTCTTATGGCTCCCTAAATCTGATTAGTTGCTCATCATCAGTGATTAGACTATTTCGAGTGGTCGCTGCACCATAAATTAGCCTTATTGGCGTCTAACCACACAAGATGCATGGATAAACACATGTACACAGGTTAACCTATTAAGTGGAAATCTGGAAAATATTCATAGTTTATGTGGAGAATAGTTTGTATGCTGTTATTTTGTAATTCATCTCAGATGTTATTGTCATCTGTTCGACTATCTATTTATACTATGTCTAGAGTGGTTCCCGCTTGGCAGTTATATGTATATTCACTTTCCTAAGCGGAAGATTCTAGCCACTGATATACTTTGGTGTGAAGTTGACGTGTGACAAGGTCCACACCAAAATTCACTGGAATTTATACAACACCCAAAATTTAAGACATGAGGGAGTTATGTATGCACAGTCTTCACTTCCTCCAGTATATACGTTTCTAACATGTTGAATAGTATTCAGATCGTGCAGCTCCTCTATATGAAATTTTTATCTATGGTTGAAGAGCCTGACAAATTATATCGGATGTTTTTAATGAGAAAAAATAGTTCATTTTAACGTCCTGAAGCTGGGAAATCATGTTGGGTGTTGATACTATGACAGTTTAATATTTCTGAAATAACATCCACGATTTAACAGTGTGTATGTAGTTTTAATGATGTTATTCACAGTAGGACATAATCCTATAAGAGGATGAATGCAGTAACCTAATTATGATGAGTCGTTAACAATTTTTTGTATACTGCAAATATAAGGAAAGTCACTACATATATAACCCTAATTTACACTAGTGTTCATTACTACTTGGTTCTTTTGGCCGACCGAAAGGGAATCCTCTGTTATTTATCTAAGATAAGCAGTTTTCGTTGTTATATCCCTTCTATCGTAAAAATTTTTAGAAATCCTAAGACGTTCAGTTATCCTGAATAGCTGATTTATATTTCAGTTTGTGTGCTATACTTATTGTGTCAGTGTTGATGAAACGTTAAGCGTGAAACCTATGACTTGCTTTGTTGTTAATAACATAATTTTGGCCCTTGTTATTTCCCCCTTATACTCTCTTATTTGTACTCTATAGTGAACAACCTTCTTAAACATACTTAGCTGCTTAAAATTAATTGTCGTTGGCTTACTTTTTTGTACTTTATTCTATTCCTTCTTTTGTATATCTACTGGGTCCGACTATATTATCACTATGATTATTAAAAAATTGTCCTGTCATTAACCATCATGTAATATTAGTTTTGTGGTTGTTCTTTGTTCGGCACTATTTAACTGACAATCTTGTTTGTGAACGCCACTACCACCATCTTAAAAATTTTGTATTATGCATGATTACTCACACTACCACAACAAACACTGCATTAGTGCTGACAATAAAAAAACACACAACCTGAAATGTTTATTTTATGATTGTTTAGTTTTGTTCAATCAAATTAAGTGATCATCTTAGCTATTAACATTCTTAAGAACATCTCATAATTTCTTGTGTGATCATAGCTGTTACTGTTCACCACGCATACACATATCATAGCTTCCATAACCCAGTACTGAAATATTTTTTCACTATAGGTGTTTATCTTCCTTTCTACTTGGTATTTTTTATTTGCATTTTTTCTTTTCTTTTTTTTCTTTGTTATTTCTGAGTTTCGTTTTTTGGTTTATTTTTTGTCGTGTTTTTTATATTTTTTTTGTAATTCTCCTTTTTAATGTACGATGAAATTAGATGCAATATTGTAGATATGTGCTGAAAATTCCACACTGTACCACCAGCGCTGTTTCTGGAATAAAGCGAAATTGTTATTGTTAAAAAACTATCCGAGATGAAGTAGTTTACACGAGATTTAAACATGCGATTTACTAGCTGGAAGTCAGTTGCTTAAACCAATGAAATATATATCTTCATGCAGTATGGATGTTACTACTACTTAACTGCCTCTTAGGCGCTATTTCCACCTTTCTTGAAAACATTCACTGGGACTATAATGTATTGGATCTTTTAAATGACCTCGTTTTCTGTAATAAGTAACTTTTATGTTGTCTTAGAATACATCTCTAATAAAGTGAAGTGTACTTGAACTCCAGGTTGTACAAGACTGTTCCTTGACCGTAAGAACCTCCTAAATTTTATTTTAAGTGTGTCAGTTACCGTAATGTCATATACAACGACAAGTGATGAAAGTAAGAGTTAAATAAAGTGTCAAACACCAGCTTCTTTTTAGTGATTACAGTTTCTTTTATTTGAAGGGTTATCATAGTCTTAGCTGTACAATCGCAAATATACATGTGTTATTTTGTATGTGTACATTATGTTTGTCAAACAAAAATACAATTTTTTATGGTTATTTTAACTAAACAGGTGAAGATTGGTAATTGGAGTTACGTAATACAAAATCGGTCAAGAAAATTGGGTATTAATGAAATTAGGATTATAACAAAAGTGATGAGTTGTCACATATTTGCGATTGTACAGCTAAGAAAACGAATTTGCCGAAAAGAGACTCTTCGCTGGACTAAGTGTTTTGTTTTCATGAATGTCTGGGTGGGGATTATCCATGAATTATCATAGTCTGTCAAATATTGTTTTCACTGTTGAAAGATGAATGGAGAGCAGGGTTGAACTATCAACGCTATATCAGTTGTACATTTCGAAATGTTTAACTACACTGAAACAAATTAAGTATATGTATCCCATCCAATAATCTTACAAAAGGCCTCTAAAATATTACTGATTTTTAAAATATTGATTTTTATCAGTGCGTCGGTGGCACAGCGGTTAGGACGCTCGCCAACCATGCACATGGTCCGGGGTTCGATCCCCTGCCGACGCACCCCTTTACCTCGCTAAGCCAGGAATAATCCTGGTAAAGAGGAAAGGTTGAGCATGAGGCTGTCAACCTCATCCTGTAAGAATAAACACTACTGCTACAGAAACTTGAAGCCCTATGTTCCACTGGGAACGTGAAGGAAATTAACTAACTAGCCAGTTAATACGTTTTACACACAATCAAAACTGTGAATTTATTGTACAATACTGAAGTCAAACCAATCTGATTAATTATGCTTTTATTATTATCATCATTATTTTCTTTTTTAGCTTTACAATTTGGTCTAGTTAATTCTAATTTCGTGTACAACCTCTATGCATCTGGTCTACTGACATTTTCTTTTTACATATAATCTGAACAGATTATAAAAATGAGTACTCGCAACCAACTAGATCTTAAAATTGGTGTAGATGGTATAAGTTGTACAGATTTCTCAGTTGTTGGTGATAAGACTCTGCTTGCAGTTGGTACATGCAGTGGAAGAGTTCGTTTGTAAGTGTTGAATTTTCCCCGTAAGATATAACTGTATAGTTTAGATATGACTATATCGATCAGTCAAAGCCGCTGTATCAACGTCGTTGGCATAAAACTATTCGATGCTTGTCATTTTTTCCTTCATCACCAAATTTACTAGTCTCAGCTTCTAGTCAAAGTGGGATAAAAATACACGATATGACAACTGAACAACAGACATGGAAGTGTCTTCAAGCTCATGGAAAATCGCCTATATCTAGTCTTTTAGTTCTAGAGCATGGTCAGTGGCTTACTGGGGATGAAGATGGAGTAATCAAGGTAAGAAAGTGTTTTCAATAGTTTGTTTTGTAAGGATTAAATTTGTTTTTTTTACGAGTTTATCACGGACTGATATCAGTTGTCTGTCTGACTGACTGGTTTCAACATATAACTTTGCACCGATGTGCACCAGTTCAAGTCACCACACTCCCTCCATGTACCACACAAAGCAAGAGAAGAAAGTAGAAGAAATGCATAATAGAGACCGTAGACAGGGATATGAGACAAAATGAATAGTAATAACCAAGAAAAATATAGTTTCATTGGATACTATAAGTCAAACGGAGTGGATGCGTATGGTTCCACTCCTTGTGACTTATGATTTCCAATGAAACTGTTTTGTTCTTCGTTACTACTATTCCTTTGTCTCATACCTCTGTTTAGTGTCTCTATTATGCATTTCTTCTACTTTATTCTCCTGCTTTGTGTGGTACATGGAGGGAGTGTGGTGACTTGAACTGGTGCACATCGGTGCAAAGTTCTATGTCGAAAACAGACAGATGCATCGGGGCCAGCCATTGATAACGATGAGTTTGAGCCATATCACCGATTGTTTCCTGCCATTAGTGTTTACCGTCGCTAGGACCACAAACAGACAATCAGGAAGTCTACACCTTCCTATGTGGCTGACTTAAACTAACTATTGTGCATTTCATTGACCGATAAAGCCATATTTTGATTTGACCACTACTACCCGTTTTTCCGACCTGATTGATCATGTGTCAGCTAACATTACCCGTTATCAAGGAATGCGATAGCTAGTAATGCATGATACACGTGGTAACCATCTCAGTCTGCATAACTTCAAAACCTCGTCGATTTAATTTCTTCCTAACCAAACACTCGACCGATGCCTAACCTCGATATATTTTCCACCCTGTTATACCATCATCTAACATGGGAGATAGAATGCTGGCATGTATGATCAAAGACAACTGGCCTATTGATGTCTTCCGCGTTTAATGGTCATGTCTCGCTCACAAACGTAAAGAAGGACGAAACAGACTGCTGAGCAATACTGTCTGTTTGTCTGTTTTCGACATAGAACTTTGCACAAATGTGCGGAAGTTCAAGTCGCCACATTCCGTGTAGCACGCGAAGCAAGAGAAGAAAGTACAAGAAAAGCATAATAGAAACAGTGAGCAGAGGTGTGAGACAAAGGAGTAATAAAGAAATACAAAACAGTTTCATTGAAGATCATAAGTCACAGGGAGTGGATGCATCTGCGCCACTGAGAACGGTTTTGAGCCATGTCACCAATTGTTTCCAACCATAGATTTTTACCGTCCCGAGGACCCCAGCCTGGAAGTCTACACCTTCCTACGTGGCTTAGACCAACTGTTGTGGATTTCATTGACTGATGCCAAGTTTTTGTTTGACCGCCGCTAGCTTTTTTCCAGCCTGACCCTATATCCGCTAACATTGCTCGTCGAGGGAGGCGATGGCTTGGCATACGTAACACATGTCCTAACCATCTCAGTCTTTGTAGCTTCACGACTTCGTCGATTGATTTCCCCTGTTTACCTAGAACTCTACGCCTAACCTCCATGTTGCTCACCTTATTATGCCACTTTACACGGGAAATAGAACGCAGGCACCTATGATCAAAGACAGCTAGTCTTTTCATGTCTTCCACTCTCAGTGGCCAGGTCTCACAACCATAAAGGAGGACGGAGCGGACTGATGAGCAGTACACCCGCCCTTTGGTCGATAGTCGAACATCTCGTCTACGCCAGAGTCGGCGTAAACTAACAAATGCGAAACGAGCCCCTTGTATTCGTGCTGAGATTTCGTCAGAGATCAGCCCGTTGGGGCTGATGGTACTTCCCAAATAAGTGAAGCGGTCAACGTGCTCTACCACTTCACTTCCTATTTTTAAACTAGGCGTCGATGTAGTCCAGTCCTGTAACATCATCTTGCATTTGGCGGGAGCGAATCGCATGCCAAACATTCGTAGATTGCGGCTCAAGGTGTTTAGAAGACTCTGCATTTCGTCAGCGTCTTCGCCTAGAAGGACTATATCGTCTGCATATTCCAAGTCAACGAGATTATTCCCGGTAGCAAGTCAATCCCTGAGTCGCTGAAGTCACCTAGGGTTAAGTCCATTAACACATCTATGATGAAGTTGAATAGAAAAGGAGATAATGGGCATCCTTGACGGACACCACTGGTCGTCATCAGTTCAGATGACAGCTCGCCGTAAGCCCTCACCTGGCTGTATGAGTACGAGTAGAGTGCCTTAATCAGTGCAATATATTTTCTTGGAATTCCCTTTACAGCCAAGCATCTCCAGAGAACTTCCCGATCGACAGAGTCGAATGCTGCCTTTAGGTCAAGAAATATAATGACTGTTGGACGCCGGTAGGAATGCCTATGTTCTAGAATCTGTCGGAGGGTGAAGATATGATCAATACACCCTCTTCCTGGTCTAAAGCCTGCCTGGCTCTCTCGTGTTTGTGCTTCCCGAGCACCACTCAGTCTACGCATGATTATTGAGCCTAAGACTTTAGATACTATATTAGTCAAGCTAATCCCTCTGTGATTATCACAGGAAGACTTGTCTCCCTTCTTGTATATGGGGATAATCAGTGACTTACACCAACCCGATGGGACTTCTTCTGATTCCCAGACGCTGCCTAGTACCTCAGTTAATCCGGACAGTAAGCTGTCTCCACCGTACTTAAATACCTCTGGAGTCATTCCATCAGGTCCCGCTGCTTTGCCTAGTTTCAGATTGGTGACAGCTTTAGTAACCTCAGTTAGTGACGGAGGACCTGTGTTTATATCCCATTCAGGGAGGTGTTGGATGCTCGGAAGGTTGAGCGTGGCTGTGGGCAAATTAAACTGCTCCTCATAATGCTCTTTCCAACGATCCAGTCGTCTATCCTGTGAGCTAATTATAGTGCCATTTTTTTCCGAGATTGTCTCACTAATGATTTGTCTTCTCCCACCCGTTTCCCTGATGAGTCCAAAGAGTTGCCTGGTGTTGCCTATCCTCAAAGCTTTCTCCATCTCTTTGGCTTTTGTCGCCCACCACTGTTCACGGTCCTTGCGGAGACTTTTCGTAAGTTTCCTCTTGTGCAGCTTTCGCTCCTCATTGAATTCGGAGCTCGCCGGAATAAGTCTTCTAGCATCTATCAGTTCGGATGAGGCGGTGGAGATCCAGTGGTTTTTACTCACCTTTGGGTTTACCTTATTCACAGCTTTTACAGCTGTATCTATGGCTGCCTGGATATTTTTCCAAGCTTCTTCAGGGTGAGCACAGCTGTCGAACACAGATATGTGTTTAGCTAGTTCTTCCTGAAATACGGATTTAGTTTCCTGATCGAGCTGGGGACGTGATGGTTTTACCGCCAGCTGTTTCCTACGTCCGTTCAGTCGTAAGCACACCCGAGCGCGGACCAGTGCATGGTCGGTATCTACGCACGTGTTCCAGAAGGAGCGACAATCTCCTACCGACCCACGCCAACGATAGCTTATTGCTATGTGGTCTATTTGTGTCCAGCGTTGGTTTGATGAAGGGGGTCTCCAAGTCAAACAGTGTCTCTCCTTGTGTTTAAAGTTAGTGCTTACAAGAAACAAATGATTATCAGAGCAGAACTGTAGGAGACGGTCACCGTTGTCGGTTCGCTGGCACGGAGCTCCATAGGTGCCACCGACATCCTTCTCAGATTGACACAATTTCCCTACTTGAGCGTTAAAGTCACCAGCTAGAACGACTATGTCTGAGCGTTTAGCCTTTCCACCAAACTAGACAGCTTTTGGTAGAACTCATCCTTCGTTTCATCTGAACTGCAGTCAGTGGGGGCGTAGGCGGAGATTACGAAAAGGCATCGGCGAGTAGTGCAGTCCTTCCTCCTTCTTACTGATCCGTTCAGGCGGACAGCACACATTCGGCTATCTACCGGGATCCAGTCAAGCAATGTCTTTTCTGCCCTAGTACTCAAAGCTATCCCTACGCCAGCTAATCCTCGTGAACTAGCTGTGGCATCTCCTGACACCCTCAAGGTGAATTTTGCAGATTCAACCTGTTGGCCAGGTGGGGTTAGGTGAATAACCACACTTGGGTCTTGTATGCGTGTTTCTGAAACACAGCATACATCAATGGCTCGTGATGCCAGGGTCTTGGCTAGTGATGCTTGTTGTCCTATTTGGCAAAGTGTCCTAACATTAAGAGCTCCTATATGAAATTGGTGGCGCGGCTTTAAGAGGCTGTCGGTGGTGGTTTTTTGGCTTCCATCGTTTTTAGTGGACGCAGAGTGGAGAGGAAGTGGAGAGCTATCAAGTCGAGGAGTTGCATCAGTGGAAGGAAGGCAAGATGATAGAGATGAAGATGAAGACAAAGATGAGTGAGTAATAGAGAGGTTTCGTGTGCATTTCGGATTGTGAGGGCGATTGTTACTTCCCGGCTGCCCACACCGTGGAAGTTGGTTGCGTGACCGCAGAGCCCAGGGGACAACTGCTTGAGGCCGGTCACACGCGGCCTGTTTTTGTTCGTTCTTTTTTGTTTGGTGTGTCTCAGTAGCAGATTTATCACTCCCGCCCTGTGACACGGCAGCAGGAAGCGCGGTCGTTGTTAATCCGGGCCACGGCCGATCCGGCATGAAATTTTGTAATTTTGTATTGGACATGATGTTGGATTGGGTAGCTGCTTTTTGTTTAACCGCTATCCAAACAACCTGCCTGGCATGGTAGGACCTCAAGAGACATAAGTCTCAGCCAGTATAGCTTGAATAGATCATTGCGGTGTTCAAGCCCGACCACCACGTCAAGGTAGCAGCTTTCGGTCGGGAGCTGAGCAATACACACGTCTTTTGGTCGATAGCGGGACATCCCGTCTGCGCTAGAGATGGCGTAAACTGGCATATGTGAAACGAGCCTTTTGTAGCTGTTATTCAGCTAGCTACAGCTTATTATGAATAAAGCTCGGGTCTATGGGATCAATTCATGGCTTCTAAGCTTTCTGAATACTTTCCATGAGTTTACAAATAGACATAGCATCGATAAAACCTGAATTTCGCCTGAATTAGAGTAATATTCATTCTGAATAGGCGTATGGAAAATAGAAGTACGGTGAGAATATGTAGTCACATCCTTCGAAGTTGGATTTATTGCCGGTAATATAATTTAACTCATATTTTTTCTAATATAATATTTTAAGGTTGCTACCTAGAACAGATTTGTCATATGTTTTCTAGGCCTTAGAGGGAAAGGAACAAGAAGTTCAGAAACACAGATAACTATCTTTTCGACGATTTCATTCTCAAAAGCACTTGTACAATCGCATTTATATACATAAGTCTGCATTAGATACAATTATTATTTATTTATTTAATTCCACATAGTAACGAAGGTGATAATAAATTTCTACTTGATATGAAAGTTTGAAGGTACGAATATAGATTACAAGTGGCTTAGAGACACGATCATGTAGGATTAGAAAACACTTACAAGATATGCAAAATTTGATATTTGATAACTGGAGAAATAATTTTAAAGGTGAATGAGAGGCGACATTAATTATTTTCAACTTGATATGGATTATGAAGAGAGGCTTAGAAAGAAAAATTACGCAAGGGATAGAATGAATTACAGGTGTGTACAAACAAAATGAGCATGGAAACAAATTGAAATCAAAATTTTCAACTGGAAATGTAAGTCAGGTGTGTGTGTGTGTGTGAATATAGATTAAAAGAGGCGCAGAAACAAAAAAAATTACACAGGACTAGAATGTAATGGCAAAATAGTTATTCTAAACGGATTACAAGTGTGAACAGGAGGAGCATGGAAACAAACTTAAAATAACTGATTTTATAACGGAAAACAGAAATGGGATGAATTGAATGAATACAAAGAGGGGGAAATACATGCACAGCAAACAAAAATATTCAGGAGATACCTAGCAGCAGATATTCTTAAAAGGAAAATCTCCAATTCCCTGAAGAAGACTTTTCTTGCAGCAGCTTTAAGAGTGATACTCTCTGGCCGCCAGCTACTTCGGATCGATGAGAAGGAGAGACTTCCACAAATGACCACTTCAATGTGCATATATCAGTTCATCTGCTGGTGTGGAGCTAGGTACATAGGTCATTCTATGCGGGTCTTATCAAAACGTCTTACAGAACATCACTCAGCACGACTGCAAAGAGGAGGCACTGGTTCAGTCAGAAGCGCCATAACTGAACACCTCGTCAATATCTGTCACAACATCTCAACTAACTCATCATTCAGAGTCACTTACAAAGTAAACAAAAATCTACCAGAGGCACTGTGTTTTCGACTTCTTTGTACTACGGAAGCTCTCACCAAATGCATTGAAAAGCCGGAGCTATCTGTTCAAAAGAAACCAGTTCAGCCTTTATAACTACCGTGAACCTAGTTCGGCATGCTACCTTATCCTTCAGATTTTTTTGTTTTGTTCTCTGTGTATGTATTTCCCCCTCTTTGTATTCATTCAATTCATCCCATTTCTGTTTTCCGTTATAAAATCAGTTATTTTAAGTTTGTTTCCATGCTCCTCCTGTTCACACTTGTAATCCGTTTAGAATAACTATTTTGCCATTACATTCTAGTCCTGTGTAATTTTTTTTGTTTCTGCGCCTCTTGTAATCTATATTCACACACACACACACACACACACACCTGACTTACATTTCCAGTTGAAAATTTTCATTTCAATTTGTTTCCATGCTCATTTTGTTTGTACACACCTGTAATTCATTCTATCCCTTGCGTAATTTTTCTTTCTAAGCCTCTCCTCACAATCCATATCAAGTTGAAAATAATTAATGTCGCCTCTCATTCACCTTTAAAATTATTTCTCCAGTTATCAAATATTAATTTTGCATACGTTGTAACTGTTTTCTAATCCTATGCAATCTTGTCTCTAAGTGCCTTGTAATCTATATTCGTACCTTCAAACTTTCATATCAAGTTGAAATTTATTATCACCTTCGTTACTATGTGGAATTAAATAAATAAATAAATAATAATTGTATCTAATGCAGACTTATGTATATAAATGCGATTGTACAAGTGCTTTTGAGAATGAAATCGTCGAAAAGATAGTTATCTGTGTTTCTGAACTTCTTGTTCTTTTCCCTTTAAGGTAATGTCCCGATAAGTATTTTCCTCGATTTTGAGGCTTTAATCCACACACTTATCTTGCGAGAGATTATGTGATACCACCCATTTGTCCAAAGTAAAGTGGATAGAATGGGACTTAAACTGTCACCAGACCGATAGCTCCAAACTGGATGTTACTGATCGGGTGTGCATATTGCATTGACCCAACTAGCTACACTGGCACGGGAACGAATGTTCCTGCAGGTCCTACCATGCCAGAAAGATTGTTCGGATATCAGTTACCGTCATCATGTAATTTATTTACAACTATTTCAACTGTCTGTGGATGAAATCCTACTCCTAGGGGATCTTCTTTGTTTTGTGTGCCTCAGTAGCATACTTATCACTCCTGCCCTGTGACACGGCAGCAGGAAGCGCGGTCGTTGTTAATCCGGGCCACGGTCGATCCGGCATGAAATTTTGCGATTTTGTATTGATCATGATGTTGGATTGGGTAGCTGCTTTTTGTTTAACCACTATCCAAACAACCTGCCTGGCATGGTAGGACCTGAAGAGACATAAGTCTCAGCCAGTATAGCTTGATTAGGTCATTGCGGTGTTCAAGCCCGACCACCACGTCAAGGTAGCAGCTTTCGGTCGGGGATATAACAGCAGTGTATGGTGTACCCCTCAGCTATGCTTCCTCTCCGCTCTGGAGAGAGGGAAGTGGGGTTAGTAAATGTCAATCCTGCGAATTGTACATTCCGGCTTACCTTGAGATGGGGTGGTCCGTAGCCGGTGGTAACATCTTAATATGTACACAACTCTACATAATAATTCAAACAGATCGTGTGTGTGTGTGTGTAACGGTCGTCAAACATTTGTCTCCTGGACTATGCAGTAACACAACATAATTTTCTCTTTTTGTTTTGGGTTCCCTAAGAAAAGATATCGAGTTGTACAGTCTGATCAGCCGGCAAGTTAAAGCCGCCCACACACACTTCCAAAATCACACTAAGCTATGTTAAAACTCACTTAGTCAGTCAGTAAACCCCTCGATCCATCGCCTGAAAGCCAAGTGCTTAAGACGATGACCTATAATACTTCTTATGCAATGACTTACAATCAGCATAAATGGCAGGAACCTGAAACAAACAACCTCCTTTACCTACCTGGGAAGCATCGTTTCAACTACAGGCGAACGGAACTGAGGAGGATATCAAAGCCAGAATCGAAAAAGCAAGGCAAGCTTTCATTACCCTTAAGTCCGTGTGTTGGTCAACAGCACTCAGCATGAAAATGAGAATAAGATCCGGATTTTCAATTCCAATGTGAAGTCAGTGCTACTTAGCATACGAACCAGAGACTTGGTGAGTCATAAAGAGCACCTCAAGCAAACCACAGACCTTCATCAATAGCTGTCTTCGCTCAATACTCAAGATCAGATGGCCAGCCAGAAAAGATCAGAAACAGGGTGGGATCTCTGGCAATGAGCGAACCAACTCAGCAGGAACCGATTGTGCAACGAATAAGCAGGAAGAAATGGGGTTGGATTAACTGGCCACACTCTGAGGAAACCATCAAGTTATATCACTAGACAAGCCATCGCTCGAGTGGAACCCGAAAGGGAAACGGCGAGTTGGTTTTCCAAGAGTGACTTGGAGGAGGTCATGTGGAGAGGAGATGAAAGCATGTGGATAGACTTGGAGCGGGGTGAAAACGTTAGCAGAGAACTGAACGCAATGGAGACGCACGGCTGAAGCCCTATGTTCCTCTAGGAATTAAAGGAAATAATAATAATGACTTACAAAGAGGTCTGCTGTCAGATTCACGTTATAAATTGAATCGATTTATAGAAAAGTATCTTTTAGCGTAAAATTCATTTTTTTAATTTTGTTTTGACTTACATTCATAATTATTAGATGTGGGATTCTAGACAGTCTGATTGTGTTTCAAGCATGATACCAAGTGAAGAGTATAAATTTGACGACCAGTTTAATGCAATCAATGGAATGGCTGTATCGAATGATTCTCATGGGACTCTGTTGGCTGCTATTGATGATGGTACATTAGCAGTCTATAATATACGACGGAGACGTTTTGAAATGGCTTCAGAAACACTTGGATTTAGTGCTCGGACTATTTGTATTGTTAAAGTAAGTCTCCTATTTATTTATTCGTTCATTTGTCATGGGGGTAAGGAGACACATTTTGTCATATTTCGCGCTCCTCAGCTGTAGATGTGTCTGTTCCTGCTGAGAGTCGAACCCATCACTCATCGTTTCAAATGCCAAAGTATTATACATTATTGATATACGTATAACACGGGCACTGTGGTAGAGTATAACTCCATTATAGATCAGATTTTATTTTGATATATCACACAGTGGTGTTATACAGTTAATATTTACTGATGACCACGTTTCAAGTACAATTTATTACTGCTCATAATCATAGCACACAACTTTTAACTTCATTTATATACATGAGTGAAACATTTGAATAAAATCGATATAAGATAAAGTACATTCACTAATAATACTATGAGTGTTATTCATCAATTACAATCAGATGGGAAATAAGACGAGTGTTTTTATAGTCATAATAAATAACTAGTTAGAATGTTGTGATGTGCTTGAATTGATATAGAATTGTGAGATTATTTATTATCCTCCTCTGATTTAACTGACTGGTGGTGAGAATATCTTCCATACATATCTCTGGTATTTGCATTGAGTCATTTTCTGTTGCATGTGTTTTGTGTAGATTATTCGATGAACCAGACAGGATTCAGTAATCAGCCCCTCTTTCTCCCTCCACCTACCTATATTACTTTTTAGAATTTCGACTTAGTCCCACTCGCCCTATTGTGTGGTTGTGGTGTCTTAACGCATGCAGTGCAATCAATCGCTGAGCTTCATTTTTCTAAATTATTTATCTTCATAGGGTAAGTCACTCTAATCTTAGCTAAATTCTTATGCTTTGACAGATAATCTGACTACTCCTGATCTACTAGTTTGACCTCTGTAGTTGACTTAACTCATAGTCATTACAAGGTATTTTGTAAATTATATTAATTGTTTTGGAGTATAACTCAAAGACTGCACTGCATGCATTAATACACAAACACAAAATAGGGTGGTTGGAGAGGGTTAAAATTCTAAGAAGTAATCTATGTAGGCGGAGAGAGAGAGAGGTTGATTACTGAATCCTGTCTAATTCATCGAGTCTACCTACACATACAACAGAAATCACTCAAAGCAAATACCAAAGATGTGTATGCAAGATATGATTACCACCACTCATTGAAATCAAAGGAGGATAATAAATAATCTCAAAATTCTATTTCAATTCAAGCACATCACAACACTTGTCTTATTTCCCATCTGATTGTAATTGATGAATAACACTCATATTATTATTTCTGAATGTACATTATCACATAGTGATTTTTATTCAAATATCTGGTCAACTCCACACATGTATATAAATGAAGGAAGAAAGTTGTATGAGTGAGTAACTTGATATGATTATGAGCTATAATTTGTGCTCGAAACGTCATCAGTTACTGTGTGACTAATCAAAATAAAATCGTATGCATAATAGAGTTATACTCTACCTCAATGCCCATGTTTTATACTTATATCAAAATGCATCTACCGTGTATGAAAACCACAATTTTCCTATGTCCTCTGTTTTATGCTTCTTTTGTCGTTCATTCTTGTTTTCTATGTTGTTTGACATAAGAAGCGTTCATTCCTTCTCTTCGCTATTAAATATTCTTGCAAATGACTTAGATATTTATGCCTGTATTTATATACTACTTACAAATCTTGTCAGTAGCACATGCCACCAACACACAGAAAATAAGATAAAATGCACTCATGAATTTGTTTGTTTGTTACACTAGAAACTCAGTCGAGATAAATACAGAATGGATACATAACTTCATTGTGCACAGGATTTCATTTACGCTAGAGAATAGCGTTCACTGACTGCCTACCCGTCAGGTCGTCTGTTGTCTTCGATTTCACGCATCTTGCTTTGTGATCGGAAAGTCTTGTTATCTAACCCCCAGTTACTGATGAAGAGTCCCAAACTAGAACGAAGTAGATGTCCAGTACTTACAGCCGGCTTTTACACTGGTTATCCAACTGATATTAGTCAGTTCCTTTCATTTGTTTGAATAAAGAAAAACACGAATATATTTGCAGACAGGATAATACGAGCTTGTTTTATTTTTTTGTGATTCTCCCTCTTCATCTGCGTTGCACATCCTAAACAAAATCAATTATAAGTTACAGAAGAGTGTCTGAATATACTTTTTCCACAATGACTTCCAGTTTATAGATGTAAATTGTAAGCAACATAATTTCAAAGATGATGTAAGTAGGCGAATTATTTAGTGTGTTGAAAGAGACTAACTATTTGTAAAGTAATTAGACAAAATGTGGGTGGAATTCAGATTTCTCTTGGAAACAAGGAAGGACTAGAGATAAATTACAAGATAGAACAATAGATTGAATTTATAGATATTATGATGGAGAGTTCAGGAGGATGGTATTGGGGGTAAATAGTAAATTAAAATTATAAGGTAGATAAAATACCCACTACAGTCCTACAGAAGGTCAGTGGCGAACCTGAATAGCTCCTCAGTGGTGTAACGTCTCTGACTGCAGCACTGGGTGATGCGGGTCCGAATCTTAGAAGGGACATGAGTTCTTTCGAGGTTGCAGATATGCCTCACTGACTGACTGATGAGTTTAAAACAAGCAATAAAGCAGGTTAATAAAGCAGGATGACTTAATGAATTCATCAAATTTCGGTAGAGCTCTTCGTCAGCTGAATACTCTACATACACGGATATATATACTTTTGAAATTACATTGGGAGATATAAGACTGATAAATAAACTACATTGAATTAGTCATGCAGAATGAGGACAGGTGCGAATGTTTTACAGGTCATGTTCAGATAGATAAGGGGAGAGAGAGTATGAGAGATCGAAATTAAGATAAATTGCATTACGCTTCAATTACATCACTTAGATAAACAATTAGTCATTAGGGAATATAACGAGAATTGTAAACAAACTAATATCAATAGTAATAGTTATAATAACAATAATAATAGTAATAGTGTTGAAGTGAGTTAAGATAATCTTACGGATAAAGCATAGATTTAAATGAATCAAGAATAATAATAATAATGGTAGTAATAATAATAAGAGGTAGAATAGTATTAATAACAAGTAGAGAATAATAAGTAAAACGTATTACCATGGTAGATTCAGAGTGACGACCATCTCCTTTTGTATACAGAGACCTGGTTTGTAAATTCGAATTGCACAAGCCTCTGGAATTGCAAGCATCTTCTTGTTTCTTTGTTTGCTGACAATGGTGAATGACTTGACAGCGTCGATATCATGTCCGTAATCCACAAGATGTTTTGTTATTGAGGATTTTGGGACATTGCACTCAGCTGTTTTCAACCATTTTGGCAAATGCTCCATCATGCGAGTAGATAATCGCCTTTCCGTACGACCTATGCGTATTTGCTGCCATAAACACACTCAAATTGATATATGCAGTTTGGAGTGTCGAGGATTCGCGACTGGTCTTTCCCAGATTGTTGAAGCACTCGCTTGGTGGTGTTAAGGACTGATGAGTGCCAACTAGCACGAAACCTACGTCAGTCAAGGCTTTCTGTGGCCGATTGCCTCCAACCATCTAATACCATCAAATCAATGTGCACTGTGATAGCCAGCTACTTAGCTAGCATGGTGGCCACATTGCAAACTTGACTGATAGAATTCGGTCTGTATCAAAGAAAGGACTAGACACGTCACACTAGTCAACAGTGTTCAATCAAAAAAAGTAGATAAAATAGTTTAATTCAGTAGATTTGGTACCTTCATAGTGAGTTCAACTCAAAATAGTGAGTGAAAATCAAAATTTATTGGAATGTTATGCAACTGAACAAAACACAAAAGTACACAAACAAAGCAATTACAGTAATCAGGGTAGCGGTAGATTAGTCACACTCACTTTCTGTATGCATGAGTTGAGTCGAAATCTTTTATTGGCAATAGCTTCTGGTGCTTATAATTCCAGTTATCTCATCAACAAACCTGTATAGCTAATCAAATCTCTGCAAAACAGCAAATGAAAATTCCGTTTCTTGACGTGGAACTACAAAGAAGAAGAACTGATGGAAGCTTAAGAAGATCGATCCATAGAAAAGCTACTTAAAGAGATGGGCAACTAACAAGCTTCTATAGAGGAATTTAATTAAATCACTTGCTGCCCGCGTCCGACGCATCTGTAGATCCGATGTTCTAGAAACAGAATTAGATATTTTGAGCGAAATCTTCATCCAAAATGGATACCCAATTAGACTCATTGACAAAAATATCAAACTGAGAATTTGGAGAAATGAAACTTCACTTACGCCTAAAAGGAAACTCTTTATGAACTTGGATTTCAGGGGAGATCTAACAAGTAATATTCTCAAAAGAAGGATCATAACGTCTCTGAGAAGAACATTCTTTGCAGCAACACTAAGAATATTGTTCCCTAGTAGTCGCCCACTGATCTGCAGAAGCCTCAAGCACATGATCCTGCATCTGACCACTTCTATGTGCATATATCAGTTCATCTGCTGCTGTGGAGCCAGGTACATCGGTTGTTCGACGCGCGCCTTGTCCAGGAGGACTCAAGAACACCATCCAGCCAGCATGGTTGCGAAAAGGCAATAATGGTGCAGTAAGGAGTGCGATAATTGAACACCTGGTTAACACTGATCATTCCATCTCAACAAACACCACCTGCTTCAAAGTGATCTACAGAGTCAAGAATAACCTACTAAAGGCAATACGGTTTCGTCTTCTTTGCATCGCCGAAGATCTGGTCATTCACATAGAAAATCCGGATCTGTGCATACAAAAGAGAGTTATTCAACCACTTCTACTGTCATGGTAACAAATTTGTTGATTTTTGACGACTTAATTTTCCTTATTTGCCTGTTTCTTTAATTGCTTATAATTTTTGTATATTCACTTAGAACTCTTACGTGATTTCGTATTCTCTACTCTGTTCCTTAGTGTATCCTGAGCAAACCTCAATCATCAAACTATTCATATTATTGCAAAACTTTATTTAACAACTGTTTGTGACAACTCATCACCTTTGAAACTAGCCTAATTTCATTAACACTTAATTTTCTTCACCGATTTTGTTTAACGTAACTCCAATTACCAATCTTCACCTATTTAGTTAAAATAACCATAAACAAATGTAATTTTGTATGACAAAATTAATGTACACGTGCATATGAGTAAAGCAAGAACAACAGTGGTGGTTTGTGCAGAATAATATGGTACGATCATTTATTTCGTTGGCTTCTCATCAGCTGCTCACAGTCTAAATAAATTTTGAGGTTTACATACGGAAAAGTTTTAACATACTTGCAAATTTTACATGCTGTCAGGTGACAAAAAGTTCCACAATCAGTGAACAGTGCTCAGAAAATCGCGCTTATATAGCTGTTTACACAGGCAGTACAAGTTTAAAGAAAATAAATGTATGCATACAATGGTAAAGGAGTTACGTAATAAAGACGAAATATGCGTTAGATACAGAGTGACTAATAAATTAGGTAACACTTCACTGAGTTCAACTCGCGTCATACAAACAAGAGACAAGCAAAATTACAGATTATAAAAAAGGGGGGGTGAAGATAAAGACAAAGATTACGCAATCAGGTGAGAGAATAAAGATATTCAGTTACCAGGGAAAGGAAAGACTAACTGCTTCTTTCTGAACACATAAATCTGGTTTGAAGCATTTGATAGAAATTGCTTCGGCGAACATGAGGAGAATGGAACTCCTTTGTGTATTGATAATTTTAAAGGATTTCTCGATTACCACCTCATGGTCCGTATTGAGGAGATGTCTGGTAATAGTGATACTATAAGAGTTTGTTCCCTTGAGTAAGACGTAGGCTTTTCGGCACATGCATGCAAAATAACCCACCTATATATTTGCGATTGTACAGCTAAGAAAATGAATTCGCCTCCGAAAAGAGACTCTTCGCTGTCAACTACGTGTTTTGTTTTTATAAATGATATAATATTAATCCGATGCTCACTAGCGATTGGCTGTATGCAATGAGTTATCTGAAATTCTGGTGGGAAGTCGTCATCACCAAGTCAGGTATTAGGTAAATAGCTAATCGCCTTATATTATCATCTGGCAGTTGCACTATACACATCATGAATTGGCAGAAGTTGGAATTCATGGGTTGACCATTTTATCTGGTTTCAGTGACTGAATGGTTCAGGAGCTCACCTTGTAACCAAGATGGTTCTGAATTAGATAAACCTGGTTGCGCACTGATGGGGAGAGTCTCACGCTAAGACTACTAAACAGCTGTTCAATACTCCCTACTGGTTTTCTCCAAATTGTTTTTCAACTAATAAAATTTCTGCAAAGCAACGTTTGGTAATTAAGTCTCTCTCTACTTTGTTTTATTTTCATTAATAGAATGGTCAAAAAGTCCTTGTCGGTACTGATGAAGGTGTGATTTGTGTTTTCAATTGGAATGAATTCGGTAATATCTGTGATCGTTTCCCTGTACATCCATTAAGACCTTCAAAACATGGACAGGCTAGAACTGCTACTGTTGGTGGACATTCTGTGGAGAAAATTGTTAAAATGTCCGAGGATGTTATCGCTGTGGCGACTGATGATGGTGTGATAAGGTGAGATGAGATGCGCTTTTTGAAATGTTCTTTTTTTTGACTGTTGGTGCTTATTAGTTGCTAGCCCTACATACTGTCTTGACTGTTTGTCATCGTTGGCGTCAGTTTTGTTGTATTCCTCTCTTCCTACAGATGAAAGGAGAGGGAGAAAATGTTGTGTAGTTGACTTTCTTCTGATCCCCATTTAGACATTTAGAAAACAGAAAGATTGAGCGAAGAAATATTTACTTTTCGATTAGATCCTCATTTTTGGCTCTACTCTAATATACACGTATAGCATTTTAATTACAATACAACAGTTTGCCAATCAAGTGGCGATAAGTTTGTTAACAATAATTAAACAGTGTCAATGGGTTAATAGTTAACAAACTTATCGCCACTTGATTGGCAAACTGTTGTATTGTAATTAAAATGCTATACGTGTATATTAGATTAGAGCCAAAAATGAGGATCTAATCGAAAAGTAAATATTTCTTCGCTCAATCTTTCTGTTTTCTTCTGATCGTCCCAGTGTGTGACACACCTTAAAGTTATCAAATCGTCATCCGGCTGAGAGTACGGGTGTTTACTCCCATGTACGCTTTTGTACTTTAAACAGCTTTCACAATAAGAACAACAACGGCAAGCAATTTTCGTCTTACTGCCCCTATCTGATCAATCTTGGTGGCACGATATGCAACGGTCACTAATGTCTCATGTGAGGTCCCATTGTATTCCTCCCAGGCGCCTAGTTCTATTGCTTCTTATTCGGTCTCTACCCTAAAACATGATGTGTGATGGCATTTGGATGCCTTCTTTACGTATATCAAATTCAAGTATTGGTTTGTAGGGATTTGATTGATTGGTTACAGGATTTCATTATGATTTGATATTGGTTAGAGAACCATTGGAAAACCACCTGGGAGTACTGGACAATCAACTGTTTCGTCCTAGTTTGCGACTCATCATCAGTACTCACCGTCCGCGAGGGTTCGAACTCAGGACCTTCTGGTTACGAGGTTAGCGAGCTCGCAGACCATGAAGCCACTGGCACCCGATCCAATGGCCAGCCCATGAATTCTAACTTCTGCCAATTCATGACATAGCACGACCGCTAGCCAATGTCTTCGGCAAGTATTTGTCCTCACACACGACCTGCTGCAAGCAGTATATTAAATTCATCTCTATTTCTCCCTGCATATTTGCTGAACAGTAGGCTAATGATTGACTGTGAGAGTTTTTTGTTGCTTCTTCTTCCTTCTGACCGATTAATCTTTAATGTCGAGTGAAATCGGGTGTTGGTGAAAGTCGTCGACAGTCGTTGGCTGGAAGCGTTATTGATATCATTTTATCGAAATTTATCAATTATTCTGACGTGGTTTGAAAACTAGTTCGATCCTACGAAGTGTCCCAAACTCTTATGAACCTCATTCAACAGCTGTACGGCAGCGTTACAAGCAAAATGATTCACTTTTGAAATAAAGACGCGAATAAGACAAGACTGATTATTACTCTTCATTGAAGTGAACTTAGTCATACAGCAGACGGTAGGGACCTAGGAGGTCAGCAGAAGACTGAGAATGTCACTAGCCATAGCCTATCCTGATGCTAAGTTGGTTCCCGTGCACCAAACAACATGCTCTTTGGTGCAGTCAAAAGTTGATAATTCTCTTCTCATGTTAACATCAACTGTGTATACTAATTTACGTGTATCTGCGGGAGCAGTTACATTGGGAGAACAGAAAGAAAGAACGACACACCTCCGATTTCCTGAACATGTACCGAGAATCCTACGTCCTCAAGGGAACAAACTCTTATAGCAGCACTATTACCAGACATCTCCTCGACATGGGTCATGAGGTGGTAATCGAGAAATCCTTTAAAATTATCAATACACAAAGGAGTTCCATTCTCCTCAAGTTCGCCGAAGCAATTTCCATCAAATGCTTCAAACCAGATTTATGTGTTCAGAAAGAAGCAGTTAGTCTTTCCTTTCCCTGGTAACTGAATATCTTTATTCTCTCACCTGATTGCGTAATCTTTGTCTTTATCTTCACCCCCCTTTTTATAATCTGTAGTTTTGCTTGTCTCTTGTTTCTATGACGTGAGTTGAACTCAGTGAAGTGTTACCTAATTTATTAGTCACTCTGTATCTAACGCATATTTCGTCTTTATTACGTAACTCCTTTACCATTGTATGCATACATTTATTTTCTTTAAACTTGTACTGCCTGTGTAAAAACTATATAAGCGCGATTTTCTGAGCACTGTTCACTGATTGTGGAACTTTTTGTCACCTGACAGCATGTAAAATTTGCAAGTATGTTAAAACTTTTCTGTATGTAAACCTCAAAATTTATTTAGACTGTGAGCAGCTGATGAGAAGGCGACGAAATAAATTTTTTCCCTTCACGTTCCCCAGTGGAACATAGGGCTTCAAGCTAGTGACTTGAAGTTTTGTAGGAGTGTTTATTTTACAGGATAGGGTTGCTAGCCTCATGCCAACCTTGCCCCTTTACCAACATTATTTCTGATTTAGCGAGGTAAAGGAGTGCGTCGGTGGCCGCCGGGGACCGAACCCCGGACCATGTGCATGGTCGGCAAGCGTCCTAACTGCTATGCCACCGACGCTAACGAAATAAATGATGATACCTTATTATTCTACACAAACCAGCGTTGTTCTTATTTTTATTCAAATTCATCAAGGGGAATAAATGCATGAAGAACCTATCAGGTAGACATACATTAGGCGGACGGAAAGACAATTGAAGACCTAGACTTGGTAGTTGATTGATGTGTTGTTTATTGTTTTAGCACAAGCTTAAATATCCTACAGTTGAAAACCACCAACAAGCTGGCGGAAGTGTGGCTGTCAGCTGATATCAGACACATGACTTCAAAGTGAATATATAAAGAAGACAGTAGCGATAAAAGATACCCACCTGACAAACAGCAATAAGTATCAGGAACGTGGAAAATTGTAAAGAAGCCATCTCTTTTACTTATCTTGTAAGTATCGTTTCCACTGCAGGCAGTGGCATGACGAGTCTATCCATGGTCACCTGGATAGAAAAAAAAAGCTAAACAGACCTTCATTATTCCATTGTAGGTAAAAATTTATTTTGATAAAGTCACACACACGCACAGTGGTGTTATTCAGGAAGCAATATTTACTGAGGATAACCATGTTTTAAGCACACTTTATTACTACTGCTCATAAGCATCATATCAAGGCATTACTCACACAACTCTCTAACTTCGTTTATATAATTCTATCATTATTTTTCATCGCTTGATTTTATTGGTAGTAGTATTTTCCATATTTCTAGTATGAGTGATGAGTCATTTCTGTTGCATGTGTTGGGTGCAGATTATTCGATGAACCGGGATTCGGTAATCAATCTATCTCGCTCTCCACCTACCTATATTACTTCTTAGAATTTTGACTCGGTCCCACATACCCTATTGTGTGATTGTGTGTTAACACATGCGGTGCAATTGCTGAGTATTTTTTTTCGTAAATTACTTATCTTCGTGGGTTGAATCATTCTAACCTTAGCTAAATTCTTATGTTCTGACAATCTGACTATTTCCGATCTACTAGTTTGACCTATGTAGTTGACCTCACCCACAGTCATTACAAGTTATTTTGTAAATTATATTATTTTGTTTAATTGGGTCAACGTGCAGGGTCTTTTAACCTAAAGAGCTTCTCCTAGCTGAGTGAGCTTGTAGGTTTGAATGCCACCCTGATTCCTGCTTTATTAAGAATCTTACGGGGGGAGGTTCTCAAATGTCTCCTTCTTATGTGGTAACACTACTATCGATGCTTACATTCTCTCTTATTTATGTTTTTATGTTGTCATTATTAGTTTCACAATTATTTTTGTTTTCCTTTTGACCTTTTTTAATATCTCTAAAGAATTTTATGGGATAGTTATTTATTTGACACCAACCAGCTATTCTTCTTCTGTCTGTTTCATTTCATCATCTAGATTTTTTGTTGTACTACTTAGTGTTGTTATCGCTCGATTTGTTAGACACTTAACAACTAAGCCTTCCTTCACAGGCAGATAACGGATGAAGTGATGAAATAAAGTCTAAATATCTATTAGCAGAATGCGTTGGCTTTTGTACAAACGCTAGTGTGTAGTAGCGATGAAAAATAATGGAATTATATAAACGAAGTTAGAAAGTTATGTGTGAGTCATGCCTTGATATAATGATTATGAGCAGTAGTAATAAATTGTGCTCGAAACGTGGTTATCATCAGAAAATATTACTGTACAACACTGTGAGAATTTATGAAATTAAATTTTACCCACAATGGAATTATACTCTACTACACAATGCACAAGTTCTGTATTCTTATATCAGAACCTTCATTGTTTCCTGAAATCAGAGTTTTTTTTTATGTTTTGCTTGTTCCCTCCGACCATCTGATCAGTATTGGTGAAAGTTTTCATCCAGCCTGTTGCAAAAATGTTTTTGACATCGGTTTATACTGCAATATATGATCTTTTTTACCTTTTTCGATATTTGTATCGCTGATTGGTAATGTGACATTGGACGGATCTGAGTGTCTGAATCGCCTACAAGCTTTTGCCTTTTAACTGGAAAGTCTTGATTTCGAACTCTGGTAGGCGCGTGTACTGATGAAGAGTCCCAAAGTGGGACGAAACAGCCAGCTGTCCAATGCTCAATATTGGTTTCCTCATTAGCTGTCTAACTGATGTCTGTCAACTGGTTATGAAAGGTGTAACTAACCAACCTTCTGGTTACAAGAGGAGGTCCTAGGTTCGAACCCTGGTGGGTGCGTACTGCTAAAGAGTCTCGAATTAGGCTGACGAAACAGCTACCTAGTACTCCCAGCTAGTTTTCCAGTGGTTCTCTAACTGACGTCAGCTCACGATGAAATCCTCCATCCAATTATCGATATTTATCAAGGATATGACGTGTTCATAAGATCCTTAGTTCCAATATATTTTTTGATGACGTAATACATAATTACTATCATTATAAGTGGCAAACAGTCTCATCTTTCTCTTTTTTTCCTGTTTTTCTTTTTCGTTTGTTTTTGTTTAAACCATCTAGTGCTGTTAACATTCTGCCAAATCGTCTGCTGGGCTGTGTTGGTTGTCATACAGACACATCGGCTGGTTGTTCTACTGGAGCAGATTGTATCACTCTGTCAATTTGTTCAACTCTGAATACGATCGCCTCAGCTTGTCCAGCCAGCTCATCCATAAAATTTTGGATTACAACCAAATGGATTGAACGTGGTGAATGTGAGGCAGCTGATCTTAAACTACCAAAGCATAAAAGACAACTACAAAGTTCTAAACTTAAAGGTGTGAAATCACGTCGTTTGTGTTTAACTGATACCAATGAACGTATGGAATACTTGGAGGGTTTATTACCGCCAAAAAAAGAATGTAATGAAGAATCATCTAGTGATGATTCTGATTCTTCTGAAGGAGACGATTCCTCTGACTCCTCCTGAGATTGTATAACACCTAGTCAGTCAGTCAGTCATTCATTAAAATTTTCTCAGTTTGTGTCTTATCTTACGATAAGTTATTTTCTGTATAAAGTGAGCAATTTTGTCAACCAGTGTAACAATAAATATGTATAAATATGAGCATTTTTGAAAATATCGAACAGTATGATTTGCGTTTTGTTCATTTCTATTGGAAATATTTTGAAAAAAAGGAAGGAACCTCGGAGACCACTGTACGCAGAATTCTTAACAAGCCAGGCAGGAATAAAAGTGGCTGGAATTCAAACCCCCACAAACCCAATTAGAAACAAAATAGAAATAGCACTATGTGTGTGTGTGTGTGGTATAGACAAAACAACGGCTGATGAAGTACGGCCACAATGTGCACTAACATTAAAACGACAAAAATGTGGAAAGCCTAACTTGACAAAACCAGAGATAGAAGGTCTAAAACACCTTAAGAATAACAAGGATATAGTAATCACAAAGTCAGACAAAGGAAATGCAACAGTGATATTAGACAAATCAGACAATTTGGACAAGGCAAATACTCACATGCGAACCGGACCATATCAGGAAATTCATAAATCAATGGACACCGTTATGAAAGGTTAAGAAATACAGGGCGAACCTTATATGCCGAATGAAGCCGTTTCTAGGTGAGTCTAAATGGCTTCACTAAATGCTCAAAACTAATAACCCCAGTAGGATGTATGGTGTTGCTTAAGTTCATAAGTCAGGATACCCTATTAGACCGTGTAGTTGATTTTAGAAATTCACCTACTTATGAATTATCTAAATATTTAGCCATGGTATTAAATCCCCTAAAAAGCCACTCGAAATCTAAACTAACTAATTCTTATGTACTGAAACATAGATTAGATAATTTAAAATTAGATAATGAAGAGAAAATCGTTAGTTTTGACATTGTCAGTTTATATGCACGTGTAACGATAATAAATATGGCTATAGAGGCAGTCAGAAACGAACTCATTTCTAACCAAGAAGTCAAACTTAGAACGAAAGTGCCACTTAAGGACATAATGCTAGGGGTGCAGCTCTGTCTGACTTCCACAGTATTTAAATTCCAAGGGAAAATATACAAACAAACTAAGGGAGTTGCCATGAGATCGCCAATATCCCCGGTTGTAGCAGATATATTCATGGATAGGTGGGAAAACATAGCGACTGAAACGTTCACTCCCACCTGCCGAAAAGTATAGTGGAGGTGGTATGTAGATGACACATTCACTATACTTAGAACACAGAACATAATAGATAGATTTCTCAAACAAGTTAACTCAAAGGTGGAGGCAATTCAATTCCCTTATGAATTGGAAAGTCAGGAAGGAGAGCTTCCAATGTTAGATTCTAGCGTAAAAAGAAAAGAAGATGGGAAAGTAAACACTAATGTGTGTTTACAGGAAACCCTCACATTCAAACAGATATTTGGAGCTCCGATCATCCCATCCTATGTCAGTAAAAATAGGATTAGCGACATTTTAAGTGACAGAGCACAAAAACTAAGTAGTACGAAGGAAAATCTAAGACAGGAAGTAATAAACATAAAAGAAGCCTTGAAACTTAATAATTATCCGGATAAATTAGTCAGGAAATATGTAGTGAAATGTGAAAATAAAATTAATAATGATAGTAGCAATACTGATAATAATAACAATGATAATAATAATAGTGATAATAATAATACAATTGACGACACCAACAATAAGGAATCTAAATCATCAGTAGTAATTCTATACAAGAAAGGAACCTCGGAAAACCACCTTAAGCAGAATTCTTAACAAGGCAGGAATAAAAGTGGCTGGCATTCAAACCACCCACAAACTCAATTCGAAACAAGCTTTGTCGGTTAATTGATCAGTCCTGTGGGGCCAATTAAACAAAACAATTTGGTTTATCTAATACCCTGCTCGGTGCGTCCGTGGTATAGCGGTTAGGACGCTCGCCGACCATAGACGTGGTCCGGGGTTCGATCCTCGGCCGACGCACTCCTTTACCTCGTTGAGCCAGAAATAATGCTGGTAAAGAAGAAAGGTTGGGTATGAGGCTAGCAACCCCATCCTGTAAAATAAACACTGCTGAAGAAACTTCAAGTCACTAGCTTGAAGCCGTATGTTCCACTGGGGAACGTGAAGGAAAAAAAATACCCTGCTCGCAATGATTTTGGGGTCAGATACATAGGTCGAGGTAGTAGAGCAGGCGCAGTTAGTCAGACTAACCGAGCACAAAAACCTAGTAAAATCTAGATTGGTTGATCCGAATAAGATAAGAAATCTAGTGAATAGTTCAGTCATAGCACTCACTAAATGCAATTACACACAACCATACAATACGATGGGGTGGGATAAGATGACAGTTTTAAAATCTATTGTAACAGGGTGAATGGAGGGAGAGATTGATAACAGAAGCTTTGTTTATCGAATCAACTGACAGTGAATACGTGTAACAGGAATGATTCAACACCTGTCCATCCAGATATCTGGAACATTCTACTAACCTTGTGATGACAAATAGGGGAAAACAAAGAAAACTGTAAAACTCACGTTTCGAAGTCGTGTGATTATAATTGATATGATTGTGAACAAGAATGAATTGTGTTCTCAACTTTGTCATCCAGTAAATAATACTGTTTCATTGACTGTTTGATATATCAAACAAACAAACAAACTAATATGGAATTACATACTACCCCACCACAGTGCCCAAGTTTTACACATATATTAAAAGGCGGTTGTCAACAACAGTGAGAAAAATTTCTCTTCCGATGAAATGACCAACTAGGTTGTACATTCGTGTATATATATGCATAGTAAATGGGTGGGAAAGTCCGGGAAATACTTCTAGTTGAGAGTCAGGTTAGCAAGACTATAAATCTCTGTCTGGATTCAACATAGAACTTGGCACCGAAGTGCAGCAGTTCGAGTTGCCACGTTCCAAATAGCACACAGAGGTAGACAAGAAGATGAGTGAAGAGAATCAATAGAGTTTGACAAGTATAAGAGTGAAACAGAATGGGTAATGGTAGAAAGGAATATGAAAGATTACAGAGACTGAATACATCTGCGCCATTGACAACGATTTTGAGCCATGTCACCTATTGTCTCCAGCCATTGATTCCTAGAGTCCCGAGGGCCCCAACCCGGGAGTCTGCATCTCCCTACCTGACTCAGTTTAACTGTCAAGGATTTCATGGATTGATGCCATGTTTTTGTTTGGCCACCACTGGCTCTTTTCCAACCTGAACCTATATCAGCTAACAATGCCCGTCGGGGGAGGCGGTGGTTAGGCATGCGCACCACGTGACCTAGCCATCTTAGTCTATGTAACTTTATAACCTCGTCGATTGATTTTCCCTCTTTGCCCAACACTCTACGCCTAACGTCAACATTACTTATCTTGTGAAACCACCTAACGTGAGACAGAGATCGCAGACATCTATGATCGAAAGCAGTCAACCTTTTCATGTCTTCAACGCGTATTGGCCATGTTTCAGAGCCATAGAGAAGGACGGAGCGAACTGATGAGCAGTACACACGTCCCTTGGTTGATAACCGGATGTCACGCCTACGCCAGAGATGGTGTAAGTCAGCGAAAGCAGCTCGAGCTTTTCGGATCCGTGCTGAGATTTCATCGCCAATCAGTCCGTTGGTGCTAATACAACTTCCCAAGTAGGTGAAGTGGTCAACATGTTCTATCACTTCACTCCCTATCACTAAGTTAGGGGTTGACGTCGTCCAGTCCTGTAGCAGCATCTTACATTTTGCAGGGGCGAATCGCATGCCAAACATACGAAGATTGCTGCTCAAGGTGTTCAGAAGACTCTGCATTTTGTCAGCATCCTCCCCTAACAGGACTATGTCATCTGCATATTCTAAGTCCATAAGATTATTCCCTGGTAACAAGTCGATTCCTAAGTCACTACGTTCAGTTAAGGATACTTCCATTAGCATATCTATGATGAAGTTAAACAGAAATGGGGAAAGTGGACATCCCTGTCGGACACCACTGGTTGTTACCAATTCAGATGACAATTCCCCATAAGCCCTTACACGACTACGTGAGTTTGAATAGAGTGCCTTGATTAGTGCAATGTACTTTCTTGGCACTCCCTTCACAGTCAGACATTGCCATAGTACCTTTCGGTCCACGGAGTCGAAGGCCGCCTTCAAGTCAAGAAATATGACAATTGTTGGACGCCGAAAAGTGTGTCTATGTTCTAGAATCTGTCGAAGAGTGAAGATATGATCTATGCACCCTCTACCTGGTCTAAAGCCTGCTTGATTTTCCCTTGTCTGTTCCTCCCGAGTTCTGCTTAGTCTATGCATGATTACTGAGCCTAGGATTTTAGAGACTATGTTCGTTAGGCTGATCCCCCTATGATTATCACACGAGGACTTGTTTCCCTTCTTGAATATCGGTATAATAAGTGACTTACCCCAGTCTGATGGACTGTCTCTGATTCCCAGACTTTGCCTAGTACCTCAGTTAATCTACAAACTAGTATGTCACCCCCATATTTAAACACCTCCGGAATAATTCCGTCGGGTCCTGCCGCTTTGCCTCGTTTCAAATTACTGATAGCTTTTGTAACCTCACCTACAGACGGCGGACCAGTGTCTATATCCCATTCGGGTACGTGGTGGATGGCGGGGAGGTTCAGTGTGGCTGTAGGCAAGTTAAATTGTTCCTCAAAGTGTTCTTTCCAGCGTTCAAGGCGTCTATCCTGAGAGCTAATTAAGGAGCCATTTTTCTCAGAAATAGTCTCACTTATGAATTGCCTTTTCCCGCCCGATTCTGTGATGAGTCTAAAGAGTTGCCTAGTGTTGCCTATCGCCAATGCTTTTTCCATCTCTTTCGCCTTTGTCACCCACCACTGTTCACGGTCCTTGCGGAGACTTTTAGTAAGTTTCCTTTTGTGCAGCTTTCGCTCCTCATTGAATTCGGAGCTCGCCGGAATAAGTCTTCTAGCATCTATCAGTTCGGATGAGGCAGTCGAAATCCAGTGGTTTTTACTCACCTTTGGATTTGTCTTATTCACAGCTTTTACAGCTGTATCTATAGCTGACTGAATATTCTTCCAGGCTTCTCCAGGGTGAGCACAGCTGTCGAATTCAGATATGCGTTTAGCTAGTTCTTCCTCAAATAGGGATTTAGTTTCCTGATCGAGCTGGGGGCGTAATGGTTTTACCGCCAGCTGTTTCCTACGTCCGTTCAGTCGTAAGCACACACGAGCCCGGA